GAAAGGGAGGAGGAGGAGGAGGAGGAGGAGGAGGAGGAAAGGGAGGAGGAGGAGGAAAGGGAGGAGGAGGAGGAAAGGGAGGAGGAGCAGCAGCACACGAGAAACAGCCGTGGGCAGGGGCAGTCTCCACTCTCGGGCCTCTCTGGCTGGGGCTGGGCTCTCGTCGAGTCCTGGCGTGCGATATGCCCTGGTTTTTCCAGGGCCGCACTTCCTCTCCCAAGACGACGCCAGGTTTAAGTCGGGCATGCCCCTCTACAGGAGGAATCTATAAACGTAGTCAAACATAGTCAGGGGACGATATTTTGCTTTTTGACAATGGTTGATCATTTTTGGAATATGTTTCCTGATTCGCCCAAAATCCGCCTGTAAGAGGACATGCCCAACCTAACGCCAGGTCCCTAAGATCTTGCTGTTCTGAAGGATTTCGAGATCTGACGGTTCTGGAGGCCCTCTTTTCCCAGAGGCCTCGTCAGAAGTGTCAGAAGGCCCCTGGCCTTCTGAGAAGCTTCCCAAGTAGTCTCCGACGCCACAGGGTCTCTGTGATCTGGCGGTTCGAGCGGCCCCTCGGACCGGGACACGTCGGGGATCGATGAGATCCGGGGGCTCTGGAGGATGCATGTGGCGCCAAGGCCCTCCCAGAGCGCCCCAGAACGCTCCGAGAGTGCTCTGGAACACTTTCGAACCAAGCCTGCCTGATGCTTCCAGGCCGCCCAAATGGGGCCAGAGCACATGGGGCCTGAGGATCGCGCCGCGTCGCCGATGCATCGGGCAATGTGCCGGCGAAAGCGGAGCGGTCAGCGCTCTGGAGCGACCTGGGGGAATTCAATGGGTACCGATGCCGCTGCTCCCCCGACCTCTTCCGGGTCGCGTTCTGACCAGAATTTTGAAGCGAATCCAGCGGTGGCGAAGAGGGCCACCTGGGAGGCCCAAGGGAGGAGCAGGAGGAGGAGGAGGAGGAGGAGGAGGAGGAGGAGGAGGAGGAGGAGGAGGAGGAGGAGGAGGAGGGAGGAGGAGGAGGAGGTAGGAGGAGGAGGGAGGAAGGAAGGAGGAGGAGGAGGGAGGATAGGAGGAGAAGAGGAGGAGTAGGAGGAGGAGTAGGGGAGGGAGGAGGAGGAGGAGGGTATCGGTATCGGTACCTTTCCCCCTTCTAACGCCCGCTCCTTCGAGCCGAGGCGCCGGCCACTTCAGCAGCATGTCCAACACCTCCGTGACGCTGTCGAAGTCCGCGACCACGTGGCTTTTCCAGCTTTGGAGGGCGAAGAGCTGCTGATCCTGCAGCGCCCGGAGGAGCTATGAGAGAGGGAGGGGAGAACGGGGGGGGAAGGAGGAGGCGAGGGAGGAGGAGGAGGAGGGGGGGGGAGGAGGGGGTGGAGGAGATTCATGGAAGGGAGGGGGAGGTGGGGGAGGTGGAGGGAGGCGGGGGGAGGCGGAAGAGGAAAAGGAGGAGGGGAAGGGGAAGGTGGAGGTGGAGAGGAGGGGTGGGGGAGAGCGGCGGCGCTCCTCGTGCTTACCTCCTCCTGGTCGTGCAGGACCTGCCTCGTCCTCCTCCTCCTCCTCCTCCTGCCCTGTTTTGGTGCTGAAATTATGGTGATCAATGCTATCCTCGTCCTCCTCCCTCCTCCTCCTTTTCCTCCTCCAACTCTGCGTCATTCCTAGCCGTTCCTCCTCCTCCTCCTCCTCCTCCTCCTCCTCCTCCTCCTCATTCTCCTCCCTGGCCATCCCTCATCCTCGTCCGCCTCTGCTTCATCATCCTCCTCCTGCTACACGTCCTCCCATTCCTACTCCTCATACTGCTCGTCCTCGTCCCTCCACCTCCTCCTGCTCCTCCTCCTCCCTCCTCCTCCTCCTCCTCCTCCTCCTCCTCCTCCTCCTCCTCCTCCTCCTCCTCCTCCTCCTCCTCCTCCCCGCCCTCGTTGTCGTTGCCCTGCCTCACCCACGGCCAGAAACAAGGGTAAGTGCGCAGCACGCTCTGCCGCTTTGTCTGGCCACCTCGGCACGCCGACGACTTCGAACAGGGGCCGAGGCCAACGAATCCTGGCCTCCGAGCTTGAGGCAGGCCTCGACCAACCAGTTTGGCCACGAGCTCCATCGACATCGCCACTCTGCCCCCGCGGGCTCTCCGGCGGCAGCTGCCCAGGACGATGCCCATCGTAGGTCCATGCGCCGACTGCGCACGAAAGAAAATGATGAGTCTACGAGGGGGGAGGCATGTGTCGGCGGCGAGCCCGGGGGGGAAATGAGAAGGGCGCGCCTTCTCAGGACCCGATGGACCCCCCTGGCCTTCTGCGTCTTCCCAGAGGCCTTCCGCGAAGGCACAAGAAACTTCTCAGAAGGCCTCAGAAGACCGGAGCGCTTCTGAGAAGCCCCGCCACCTTCTGAGAAAACCTTCCTACTTCCTGAGCAGGGACCGACCGTTCCGGCAGTCCTATAGGCCTACCACGAAATGTTCGTAGAAGCCAAACATATTCTAATAACTAAAGCAATGTTCTTAGAACATGCAATGTGTTACAACATGACAAGCCCAGCCTGAAAGGTTCTAAGAACATTTCGTGGAAACCACAAAAGGTTCTTTGAACAGTGCTCGGTAGGCCTAGAGGCACGCCAGGACGCTTCGCCACTGCTTGAACTTCTCACTTCCACTTCCCCCCCTCGCTCGCCGCCGAATGTGAAAGCAAGGGGGAAGCGGAGAGGAATGGATGGGGAGCGGAGGAAGGTGGGGTCCAGCCAATGAGGAGTCTGAGAAAGGGCGGGATACGCGGAAGGGAGGGGGTGGGGAATGGAGGGGAGCAGAGAGGCATGGGAAGGAGGGAGAAGGCTTGGGGGATGGGGGGGGATGCAGCGCGTTGGCGGCAAGGGAGCACCAGCTTGTCGGAGAACATCCGCACGACCAGGTGCTCCTCCACGCAGTACTTCCACAGGTCGCGCAGCGCGGCCAAGTACCTGAATTAGAGCAGCGTGTCGCGCTGCCCGCAAAGCAACTGCCGCAAGTGGCCCGGATCCGCCGCAGAGAAATTTTCGAGCCACTACGGCGAGGCGAGAAGGTGTGCTTTCTGACGTTTGCGAGTGGGCACTCTACGAGTAGCGGAACGCGCTCGGCGATGATTCTGAATGATGAACGTTTTCTGATTCGGCCTTTCGACATTGGGCGGAGGAGGGGGGGGGAATGGGGGGCTCTGGCTCCGGACCTCTGCTTACTGCGACTGCTTGCAACACTGCGTCCTATGAGGGAGACTCCACCTGCTCGAAACAGGCCCCAAAAAAATACAAGATCTACACCATGGGGGGGGAGGGAGGGTGCGAGGGCCCGCGCCGATCGGCAAAACAAACGACGACTGCCATCCATGCCCTGCTTGCCTCTGGTGCCCAGAGATGGGGGGCAGTCGAGCGTGGATCGAAAATTACTAACTAGGGGAGGCGGCGGAAGGACGGGTACACATTGCGAATATATATATATATACATATATATATACACACATATATATATATATACAAAGAAGGTGAAACGCGAGACCACGTGATCTCGACTCGCCGGGGCTGATGTCACGATGCGAATCTGAAGCTCGCTTGGCAAGCCGGGGAGCTCCACACGCGCCGTGCCGACCTGCCATAGGCAAACGAACACACACACACACACACAACCACACACACACACACACATATACACACTGCGAATCTCTGCGCTGTGAGGCCGAGGGCGGGCGGCTTCGGCATGGGTCTGGCTCCCCCCGCCTCCGGTGCTCGATGCTGGGGCGCACACCCTCGTCCCAGAGCTGGCCCGTCGGGCTGCCCAGCTCGCGGGTGGCCCCCGATACAAGGGAACCCAAGAGGTACCGATACCGCTACAGCCGGGCTGCTACCCGAAGGAACGGTCAATACCTCCTCCTCCTCCTCCTCCTGCTCCTCCTCCTCTTCCTCCTCCTCCTCCTCCTCCTCCCTCTCCTCCTCCTCCTCCTCCTCCCTTTCCTCCTCCTCCTCCTCCTCCTCCTCCGCCTGCTGCTCCTCCTCCTCCTCCTCCTCCGCCTCCTGCTTTGCTGCTGCAGCTGCTGCTGCTCCTCCTCCTCCTCCTCTTTTCCCTCTTCCTCCTCCTCCTCGCCCTTCACCCCCATCGTCCCCTCCACCGCCTCCTCCTCCTTCTCCTCCCCTCCTCCTCCTCATCCTCCCACCTCTCCGCCTCCTCCTCCTCTCCTCCTCCTACCTCTCCTCCTCCTGCCTCCTCCTCCTCGACCTCCTCCTCGTCCCTTCCTGCCTCCTCCTCCTCCTCCTCTTTCTCTTTCCTCCTCCTCCTCGCCCTTCCCCCCCATAGTCCTCCTCCTCCTCCTCCCTCCTCCCTCCTCCTCCTCCCCCTCCGCCTCCTGCTCCCCCTCCTCCTCCCCTCCTCCTCCTCCTCCTTCCTCCTCCTCCTCCTCCTCCTCCTCCTCCTCCTCCTAGCCCTCCCCCCCCCTCCGCCCGCAACGAAGGGCCTTTCCTTACCACGGGGAGCCTCTCTCGTCCTCAGACAGGTTTCCCGACCTGGGTTGCAGGAGCGGCCCGGAAAGCAGGGCCCCTCCCGAGCCCAGGGCGGTCTCTGGGCCAGCGCCTTGACTGCCACGGCGACAGGTCTTTAGACCCCCCCCCCAAATAGCCCCCCCAAAAAAATAGTTGTTGTCGGCGGCGAGCGGGGGGAAATGAGAAGGAGAAGGCCTTTTCAGAAGGCGGCGGGACTTCTCAGACGCCCTCGCGCCTTCTGAGAAGTTTCGTTCTGTCTTCGGGGGAAGCTTAGAAGGCTCAGAAGGCTTCCTGTCTTCGGTGTTTGGGGAAGCCGAAGGCGGTCCCTGGGCCAGCGTCTTGACTGCCACCGCGGTGCGGTGGGTGGACAAAAAGTGTCCACACCCATCGCGCCAATATGATACGACACCGAACTGCGTCGAACAAATAACCACAGTCCCCGCCCAACGCACAACCCAAAAATGACGGGGTTGGGTTGCGAGGCAACGCGTGGGGGACAACATATGGACACTTCAACTTTGGGTTTGGGGGTGAGAGTGGGGCGAGCCACATGTAGATTGCAATGCAATTGTCGTTGCCATCATGCCTGATTGTCTTCACGCCGTTGGCGGGGACACTTTTTGTCCGGGCACCGTAGGTCTTTAGCACCCCACCAACTAGTTGAAAACTGATATCTTTTCCGGCGACCTCGTGGTCGACCCGCGTTCCCCCACAAGGAATGGGAACTACTTATGTCTCAGCGGCACGCGCTATCGCTCGGACGTCATGTTCGCCCTGCGTTTCCAGGTTTCGTGCGCTCATTTCTTCGCAGGCTGAGGCGACCTGCTCCTCGATTCTCCTCGCTGGAGAGGATGACGACGACATCGACGACTACAGCTACAACTACAACTACAACTACTACTGCTACTACTACTACTACTGCTACTACTACTACTACTACTACTGCTACTACTACTACTACTACTACGACGACGACGACGACGACGACTGCGACCACTACTGATACTGATACTGATACTGATACTGATACTGATACTGATACTGATACCACTACTGATACTGATACTGATACTGATGCTGATACTGATACTACTACTACTGCTACAAACACTACTACTACAACTACTACTGCTACTATTACTACTACTGCTACTACTACTACTGCTACTACTACTACTACTACTTCTACTACTACTACTACGACTACAACTACTACTACTACTACTACTACTACTACTACTAACGACGACGACGACGACGACGACGACGACTACGACGACGACGACGACGACGACACGACGACGACGACGACGACGACGACGACGACGACGACGACGACGACGACGACGACACGACTACAGACTACTACTACTAACTACTACAATACTACGCTACGACTACTACTACGACTACTACTACTACTACTACTACTACTACAAATACTACTACACTACTACTACTACGACTACTACTACGATACTACTACGACTACTACTACGACCTACTACGACTACAACTACTACTACTACTACTACTACTACTACTACTACTACTATGCTACTGCTACGACTACTACTACTATACTACTACTGCTACTGCTACTACACCTACTACCTACTACTACACTAACTACTACTACTACTACTACTACTAACTACTACTCTACTACACACTACTACGACTGCTACTACTACTACTACTACTACTGCTACTGCTACTGCTACTGCTACTGCTACTACTACTACTACTACTACTACTACTACTACGACTACTGCGACTACTACGACTACTACGACTACTACGACTACTTCGACTACTACGACTACTACTACGACCACTACGACTACAACGACTACTACGACTACTACGACTACTACGACTACTACCACTACCACTACCACTACGACTACGACTACTACTACTACTACTACTACTACTACTACTACTACTACTACTACTACTACTACTACTACTACTTACTACTACTTACTACTACTTACTACTACTACTACTACTACTACTACTACTACTACTACTACTACTACTACTAATAATAATAATAATACTCCTACTACTACTCCTACTACTACTCCTACTCCTATCCTTATTCCTTTTTTAGAATATACTCCTACTCCCCCCTCAGGCCGGCAGATAGCGGGCGCATCCGGGTGGTCCCATTCTAACCTGTAAAAAAACAATACAAAATCAACATTTCTCTTATTTTGTCCTCTCGACATGGACGTCCTGTCGTCCACGGCGATAACCCATTGCACAAAATACCACAAAGAGCACACGCGCGCGTTCATGTCAGAATCCTACCGAACACAATGTTTTTGCAAGCATTTCAACATACAAACATCAAAAACCCAATGCTTTTTCACAACAAATTGTACAAATTTCCCGCCCGGGCTCTCTTGCTGAAATCATAGGAAAACCATAGGAATCTTAAGAATTCGGTCAAATCCAGCGATTTCACGTCATCGCGCGGTGCACTCGCGATGCTCTGTCATGCACCCAGGCCGCGAATCCTGTGCAAAGAATACTACAAAGAACACACTCGCGCGTTCATGTCAGAATCCTACCGAATACCGTGTTTTTGCAAGCATTTCAACATAAAAACATCAAAAACCCAATGCTTTTTCACAAAAATGCTTTGGGGTGTCCTGTCAGACCGTCGGGCTTCCTCCGGCCACCTCTGGCTTCCTGCGGTGTACCGGGCCATTCTCGACTCGTCTGGCAATGCGTGCGCGGCATTCAACACGCGCTCGCCAGTTCCCGTCGGCAACCGCCATCGCGGCCGCATCAGCTGTACCAAACCGGCTGGCCGGTGTGACTTCGGCCCCCAGTTGTGCCAGCTTTGCTTCTTATGTTGTGGGAGGGCGGGTGGGACTGGGCATGCCATGCTTGACTCGCTCGAGCTGGCTAGCTTGACTCCTACTCCTTCTCCTACTCCTATCCTACTCCTCCTACTACTACTTTTATTACTACTACTAACTACTACTACTACTACTACTACTACTACTACTACAACTACTACTACTACTACTACTACTACTACTACTACTACTACTACTACTACACTACTACTACGACTACTACTACTACTACTACTACTACGACTACTACTACTACTACTACTACTACTACTACTACTACTACTACTACTACTACTACTACTACTACTTCTACTACGACTACGACTACTGACTACAACGACGACGACGACGAAAACGGCAACAACAACGACAACGGGAACGACGAGGACGACGACGACAACGATTTTCACAACGACGAGATCCTCCAATCTATATTGCAATTATCTGACAAACGTGCTCAACATTTCGCTGTCGTGCAAGGTAGCCCAGAAAACATCAGTCGCCGGGAGATAGACCTCTCCGGCACTATCCAGCACGGCGAACCATAGTGGGAAACTGGACCTCTGGGGTGCGTTCTGACCAGGAGTTCGAGGCGAATCCAGCGCTGGCGACGAGGGCCGCCCAGGAGGCCCAAAAAGGGTAAACCGAGGAAGAGGTACTGGCATGGGGACCCTACCCCCGCCCCCACGAATTCTAAGGAGGGGTGGGGGTTCATGTCGCTCGGGAGGTACGAACGAAGCGAGCCTGTCCCACCCCAGAGAAATCGTAGGGGGCGGGGGGCGGGTTCGCATGTGGTCACTGGGCAGCAGCAGCAGCAGCAGCAGCAGCAGCAGCAGCAGCAACAGACGCAGACGCGTCGACAGGAGGGCGAGTCGAGGGACGACGGGCGTACGGCAAACGGATGGGCATGGATGGAGGCAAAAAGGCCCAGACGCGCGACGTCCCCCTGTTTCCGGTGCGGAGTCCCCCACACTTTGAGCAGGGACCGACCGTCCCGGCATTTCTTCAGGCCTACCACGACATGTTCTTAGAAACCAAAAATGCTCTAGTAACAAACACCATGCTCTTAGAACATAAACCCAATGTGTTAAAACAAAAGAGTCCCAGCCAGAAATGTTCGAATAAACATTTCGTGGGAACCACAAACGGTTCTCATAACATTGTGTGGTAGGCCTATAGGCACGCCAAGACGCTTCGCCACTGCTTGAACACTGTCCCGACCCCTTCCCCGTTACCACTCTTCCACCCTGCGTCGCTTTTTCTGACGGCAGCGGGGCGTGGGAAGCGTGTTCGTTCGGTTCTTGGGGGATTCGAATGGTTGGAAATATGTTTTTTAGATTCTTGTTCGGGAATGAAGCGACCCCTTTAGTAAAACGAGGTTTAGTGAAAACGACCTGAGGCCCAAACCTGGCGGGCGCAAGCCTGGAACATAACGGCCACAGCGCCGTCTCGAGAACCGAAAACGGGCAATTCACTAATCGACGTGTCACAGTTGGGGGTTCTGTCCACCCCCGATGTGTTAGGGCGTGAGCATGTCTGGGGAAGGCCCCCTGCTCCCTCCCCCTGCCACCCGCGCCCCCTCCCTCCACCGCCCCCCCACCCCCTCCGGCCGACGAGCGGGCAGGGCGGCACTCCCCCCCCTTGCCCCCCCGCCACCCCGACCTTTTTCCCCTCTCCTCCTCCGCACCACCCTACTTCCCCCTTAGATCTCCCTCCTCTCGTCCTAATCCTCGTCCTCGTCCTCGTCTTCGTCGTCGTCGTCCTTCTCCTCCTCCTCCTCCTCCACCTCCTCCTCCCTCCTGCCCCTCTCTCGTCCTCACTACCCCCCCACTTCGGCCCCTTATCGCTCCCACTCGTTCCTCCTCCCTCCCTCCTCCACCGCTCCTCCGTCCTCGCGCTCGCCCCCGCCCGCTCCCCGTCGGAAAGGTCACTCCGCCGGGATCGGCCCCGGCCCCCAATACTGGTTCCTCTCGCGCCGCTGCCGGTCCTGGGCTGGGAGGCGCGTCGCGGGGATGCGGCCGCCACGCGCGCCCCGCCCAGCCGGGCACGTAGGGGGGATTGGACAGGATGAGTAGGGAGAGCGAACGAACAGGAACGAGAAGGAGGGAGGAGGAACGAGAAGGAACGATGGGGAGAGGCGCGGGCGACAGGAAGACGGCGAGGAGGAGGAAAGGAGGGCAGCGGGGGGAGGAGACAGAGGAAGGGGAGAAGGGTGCGGGGGAGGGGTGAGGAGGCCGATGGGGGAGGGAGAAAAAGTAGGAGGAACAGGAGATGGTGGAGGAGGAAGAAGAGGATTGCGGTAACTCCCGCTCCCTTCCCTCCTCTTCTTCACGTGCCAAGCACCAAGGGCCCGAGGCTCGAGGCCCTTCCTGGACCGAACGGCAAAAGGGAGGCGCAGCGCCGCCGCATCAACAACCGAGGCCGACGCGCGCGCGGGTCGATCGGTCCCACCCCAGTGGGCCCCCCGAGCACGGCAGCGGGCGGGCACGGTGCGCGCGCGTGGCGAAGAAACGGAGGGGGGAGAGCGAAGCGTCGCACTGAGCTTCGGCTGCGCGTGTCCGGCTTCGCTCCCGCGCTTTTTTCCCCCCGCCCCCTTTTTTCATTGGCCAAGCACCAAGGCTCCGAGAGGCCACTCCCAGCCCCAAGGCCCAGGAAGGAAGAGGGGGGAAGGGCGCGCAGCAAAGGAGCACTGCGGCGCCGAATGTCCAGGGCCGAGGATCGTCGACGACGCCCCGCGCAGCAGAAGGGCCGGCGGCCACCTCGTCACCCGACGCGTACGGCCGGGCAGGTGCTACCAACAGCCGGCCACCCCCTGCGCGAACCCGGTTTCCACGCCCGACGCGGCAAGCACGTGCGCAGCCGCGCACGGCGTGCCCAGGCCACGCCCCCGAGGAAGCAGCCCCGACCGCGCGCAAATGGCAGCGGAGCTCCGCCGCCCACGCCGAAACAGCGCATCCGCAGACGAGCGGCAAGCTGCATGGAAGAGCTCATCCCGGACGGGGGGCCCCGTGTCTCGGCAGATGCCTTCATCCACCCCTCGCGGACGAAAGCGGTGCACAAGTCGGCCTTTTCCTTCTGGCGGATGGACCCGTACACGACCCGAATGCCCCGCACCTGCATGCGAACGCGCGTGCATTGCGGCTACATGCCGGATGGCGTCCGCAACAGGAAATGATGGGCAAGCGCTGCTGCAACGCACCACCGCCGACGCTGGCGTCACAGCGCGAATCGAGACAAGCGCCGCAACGGCAACCGGTCAGCCCTTTGCCGGGGTAGCATGTGCGTCCGGCACCTGGCAGTGCCAAGACGAATGCCGCGCAAGATGACACCCCGATCGCCTTGCCAGGGAACGCCGACGACCTGGTGCGACAGGGCGCATGCTCTCTGCCACCCTCGCTGCGTGGAGGCACACGCGCAAATTGCGGCTACTCTGCGAAAATGCTGAACTGAGCAACCCATCGGGGGTTCTCCTGACAATCCGCTGGCCCAAATAATCACACGCAAATGCGATGCGTAGGTCCGGAGCGTGGACATCACCATTTTCCACAGGAGCCGCTCTTGGACCACCGAGCCCGCCACTACCAGGAGGTTCACGCCAGCCGCGCGGGCTTCACCCATGGCGGTCACCTCCTGCGGGGGCGCCCCGTCTGGATGCTTCTGGCTACACCACGTGTCCATTTTGGACGCCCGAAAATGAATACGGAGGAAATGGGTAAGATGCCCAACAACAAATGTTGTCCAAAACCGACAGCAGCCGCTGTTGGGCAGACGGCCTTCTGTCTCAAATGGACAAGGCCCGCGGCGGCATCGCTGGCGAATCTGTTTCAAACTGCACAGAAAATAGTGTCGGTCTTTGTGCCTTTTCTTTCCGTACCCATTTCGATCGTCCCGATCTCTGCTGAGGGCGACAATCATGTCCCGATTGAGCCGGTCAGTCGCACCGGTGATGGAGTCGAGGACGCCCCAGTACGTGTCCGACAGCGCAGCAGCAACTTGCGGGGCAGCAGCAGCTGCAACAGACTGCACCCCACGGGGGGCCCGAGCATGCAGCGCGCGGGTGGCCAAGACGGCACCAGGCCCACCCCAGGACGGAGCCAAAACAGGTTCCAATCACGCCCGACGAGGTCATGCCATGAATGAGCAAGGGGGGGAGGAGGAGGATGAGGAGGATGAAAAGGAGGATGAGGATGAGGAGGAGGAGGAGGAGGGGGAGGAGGAGGAGGAGTGCACAAGGAGCAGGATGAGAGAGAGTTCTACAAAAGCTGAGCTTGCTCTACTGCGGCTAGCGCGCTCCTGGTGCAGAAGGGAGGGGGGGGAGCAGGAGGAGGAGGCGGAGGAGGAGGAGGTGGACTAGGAGGAGGAGGAGGAGGACGACGAGGCAGGGGAACGAGAGAGAACGGGGAGGTGGAGGCGGTAGAGGGGAGGGTCGGCCCAGTGTGTCGGTCGGCACTGATTACGCGGCCCTGGGGCCTGGAGGAGAAGCACGGCGAGGAGACTCGTCGCACTGCCGAGTAGAGGGACGCCTCTCTCGGGCAGCATGAGAGGAGGGAGGAGAGGTGAGGGGCAACGATGGGGGGGGACTGGCATAAGGGGGGATGCATTGACCTGGAATCGGCGATACATCGCCGATAGACCGGCGATGAGACCCCGATCGTGTATCCCCAGGTTCCTGAGCAGGTTGGGGCTCTCGGGCCCCTATCGGCGATCAGTGGGCGATTGGGGGTCGATGCATCCCACCCCTATGTCTACCCCCCCTATCGTTGCCCCTGAAGAGGCTGACGGGGGATGGTCGCTTCTGAGGCGGCCCACTTCTCACACGATCAGCCGCCCGTTCCGGATGGCCAGCGGGGGCGGGGGGGACTCCGCCAGCGCGGCCAGGAGGACAAACACGCTGGCCTTAGGTCGGTCCTGTCCCCCTACAGGGGGATTTGGACGAAAAATGTAAAATAACCAAAAAATGCTCAAAAGATGCCGCAAGATACTCTGAAAATAGTCCCCAGATTTTTTTTTAACTATGTTTGAACATTTCCCCTGTAGAGGGACAGGCCCGACTCAACGCTGGCCACAGGGTGCGACTGCAGGGCGCAGGCAGACCTGGCCCTGACCGGTCCCCTGGATGCGGGCGGGATGAGGGGCAGCGATCGGGGGGACACAGAATCGGCCTCCAATCAACGATGCGCCGCCGGCAGATCGGCGACGATCGGGGATCTTCTGACCAGGGTCATTCCAGACCCGGGTCGGCAGGAAACCAACAAAACTGCAATGCAGGAACAGAAGACTGCAACGCAGGTCTTCGCAAACCGGGGTCAACCAAAATGCGCGGCCGCCTCGCGGGGACGAGCGGCTCGCGAACCCGGGTCCGCCAGATGGAGGTCTTCGCAGGATCCTGCAGTATCCGGTGCCCTGGCTGGCCCCCGTTTGCGTTGACCTCCGTCTCGAGGCTCCCGGGGCGATAGACCCTTGACAGCTCCGGGGCAGGGTGGGCCGTCGGGCTTCCAGCGTCGATCGGTGGGCGATCGGGGGTCGATGCCCCCCCCCTCCAGAGCCAGTCCCCCCCCTGACGTTGCCCTTGGTGGGATGATGCAGGTAGCCTCCAGGGGAGAGAAAGTGTTTATGTTTGATGTTGGACCCCGCGCAGGATCATCCGAGGACGTCTTCGAGACGCAGAGAGGAGGAGGAAGAACAGCGGCGACTGGCGGCAAGCAGCGGTTAGGCAGCAGATGCGGCAACGCGCTTCACTGAACTACGCGCACAAAATGGCATAGGGCAGGAATCACCAGAGCCGTATATGGCTGACAGCGACAACTATGCAGCGTGAAGCGATTTTTGAATACTTTGCGCCAGCCAGTAGCTTGTAGATTGCAGTCGGTCTACAGAACAGGTGGAAAAGATGGCCCGAATAGGCGCCTCGATGGCCCGCAGAAGCCCAAAGACGGCCCAAATAATGCCCAATGCGGCCTCGATGCGGCACCAAAGGGCGTAAACATGTCTCCAAGAAGCTTCAATACAACCCAACAAGGCTTCGGCCCCAAGATCGCCTCAACATGGCTCAGCTGGGGGGGGCCAGTGGAAGTAGGCGCAACTCTTCGAGACTCGTTCAGTGCATGCGCTGCTTGAAAAGGGTTCACGCAGTGCACCGCACAACAACGAGCCCGACTGTCACCCGGTGCCAAAGACATAGCCTTCCAAAGGTGAGATCCTCACCCCAGCATCCAAGGCCAGAATTTGTGCGCATCCACCGGCTCGGGAACCGAGATTCCAGGACGCCAGCAGGCGACGGAGGTGGATGTCTTTGATACGGGCATGGTTGGGCAACCTCAAGGCGCCAGAAACTGTTCACATCCATGGCCACTGTCATGGCACATCGGTTCCATGGGCTCGGGTTTCGTCAATGGGGGGGGGCAATAAATGGGGTGGGGCGGGGAAAGCAGCACGCACCTTTCGCACACCCGTAGGACCTGTGGTGGGAGTCTAGGGGCCCTTCAGGAGCCCTTTTCTGCAATCCTCGATCCCCCCACGCGATGACTGCCCCACCGCGGCCGTCCGGCCCCCTTGGCGGTGGATCCGTCGAAAAACTCTGGCCTCGGAGCCCTGGCTGGGCCCCGCCTGCTTGGGCTGCCTCGGCTGCTCGATCTCGAACTCGCAGTCCTGCTCCAGCGCCCCCGAGCTGCCCTGCCGCGGCAGCGTCCCGGAGGAGCCCTGGCGCACGCCGCCTCTCCTCCTCCCCCGCGCCGACGAGCGCTGCTGCCACCCTCCTCCTCCGCGTGCTCGCTGCGCCCCGAGCTGCCGGAGGAGGCGTGCAGGGGCAGGGCCGTGCTGACTGGCTAGGAGGCAGGCCGTGCTGGCAGGGGGGTGCGGGCAAGGGCAGGGCGTGTGGGGGGCGCGTGAGGCAGGCTATGGTTCGGGGAGCCTCCGAGGGAAGGAAGGCAGCAGGAGGGCGCTTGGACTCCCGAGAAAGACTGGGGCCCGTGAGTCCAACAAAAGATTGACCTTGAGCTGGCTGCCTGCATGCGTTTCGATGTGCACACGCGACCGCTGGGCGCGCAAGCGCACTGTACCAACGTGCGCTTCCGCAGCTTCTGCAACGACTGGACGTGCGGCGATCCAGTTTGGGAGCACGCTTGACTGCATCGCATGCATGGCGAGGGTCAAAGTAGATTGGTCAGGAAGGCAAGAGGACGTGCCCTCGGGTGCTGAAATCGGAAGGCAGTTTAAATACATGTGACTGTGGGGACTGAAAAGCATGCGACTAGCGCACGGCATGTAAACATCTTGGTGAGAGGGTCGCACAACACTATCGATGATCATGCGACGTCGGGATGGACGAACTCGGGCTGCGAGCCGCGCTGCGTTGCCGATGCACAGGCGATGTGGCGCGATCCTCTGATCGAATACATTTCGCCCCAATTCCACCTCGGGCAACCTGGAGACGCCCTTCCTCCATCCCCCTCCCTGGTTCGGGCTGCACGCAGACCCCCACTGAATGCCGGCGGCTGGCGCTCCGTGCCCTCCCTCCCGCCTCCCTCCCTCCCCCCTCTCCCCTCTCTCTTCCCCCTTCGCCGCCCCAGGGCCGAAGACACGCCGACCAGAAGCTTGGATCCTCGACCTCCGCCCGATCGATCGACGGCGAGGGACCGAACACAGGCCCCCGCCGAGCGCGGGCAGAACCACACAGGCGCCCCCGAAGACGCTTCGATCTTCGACCCTCGCCCGGTTGAGCGTCGACAACGATCCTCTCGAGCCGACGGCGAGCGCGACGACGCAACAGACACCTGCCACCGAGCCTTCGCACGTGGAGGCGCGGACGCATGCCGAGTGCTGCCTGGCCGGGCTCCTGCGGTCTTCTACAGGACACCCCCCCCTCTCGTCGCAAACAGCTGCGTGCCCAGACGCCTCCCCTGCGCTCTCCAAGGCGTCGAAATCGCCCAACTTGGCCTCCAAGACGGACCTGGCAGGCCACCACGGCCGCCTCGAAGGTCACAGAGGCCTCCATGACGGCCCAAGACGGCTCAAGATGGCCTCGAGACGGCCCGAAAGACATCCAAAACAGTCTAAATGGGCGCCGAGATGGCCCAAGAGCGGCCCAAGAGAACCCCAAGTCGGCCCAAGCTGGCGCTCAGGCGGCCCTCAAGGTCCCCCAGAGAGCCCCACGACGCCCAGCGAGCCGCCCGAGGTTGACTCTGAAAGCACCCATACGGCTCACGAGCGCACTCAGACGGCCCAAGGAGCCCCCAAGAGCTCCCGAGGCGCCCCGGAGGCGCTGCCAGAAAAACCCCCAAAAGGCCGCGAAGACCCCCACAAGAGGCCCCCAAAACCTTCGAGTCCCGAAGTGTCACACTTGACGGCCTGCTGTGCCCCCTCGAATAATCGCCACCCAACATGCTGGACCGGCATGGTGGCCGCGCGGGACTTGCCGCAAACATCTGGATGAAACCGAAGACGGGAAACCGACAGGTACCGATACTGATATGCCCACGTCAGGCTGAGAGTGGGTCATCAGCAACTGTTCGAGCAGCCAATCGTCTCTCACCATCAGGGAGGCGTGGGCCATCAGCAATGAGGGGGCAGCCAGGACTCTCTCCACAGCAGCGATGCGACAAGCGTGTTGGCCCCACTGTAGGATATGGAAGCTGGGCCACCCAGGAGATGCTCTGCAGAGCAAGCTGCACCCGCTCGACCGTGCGGAGGGAGAGGAAGGGGCGACGAATCCTTCCAAACACTGCCATGGACCTGAGGACCCCACCCACCCCAGACATCCGGTGTCTCCATTGTTTGAATCGGCGGCGAGCGAGGGGGGGAACTGAGAAAGAAAAGGCCTTCTCAGAAGGCTCGGACGTCACCCGGCCTTCTGAGAAGTCTTCGAAGCCTTCCCCGAAGACACCGAACACCACTCAGAAGGCGCGATGGCTTCTGAGAAGTCCCGCCGCCACCTGAGAAGGTCTTCTCCTTCTCCCTTCCCCCCTCGCTCGCCGCCGATGAAAGACACGGGCCCCCGACTCAGCGCCCCTCTGACGGGGACTCCACGAACGGGTACTTTGGCCAGTGAGCCTGCGAACCTAACCCTTCCCGATGTGGGCAACGCTGCAATGCCAGGAAGGGATCCTAAAGTGGCATTTTTCGGCAACTCAACTCTCCACCAGAGTACCCGTTATGATGAGTACCCGTTACGGTGCCGCTGACCAACCTCTCGACCACTTCCCCCGGGCCAGTGGTTCGCCCCGAGTCGTTCGTGTTAGGTCGGGCCTGTCCCCCGGGAATTTTGGGCGCAACATAAAAAATACGCAAAACAAAACTCCAGAATGGTGAAAAATATTCCAAAAATTGTCCTCGGACTGTTCTTTGACCACTTCTGAATATCCCGCCCGTGGAGGGACAGGCCCGACTTAACGTTAGTGAACGACCCGGGGGGCCTGGGAGGAGGAGGAGGAGGAGGAGGAGGACTTCTGGGAGGAGGAGGAAGACTCCTGGGAGAGAAAAGGAGGAGGAGGAGGACTTCTGGGAGGAGGAGGAGGAGGAGGAGGAGGAGGAGAGAGGGGGGAGGGGAGGAGGAGGAGAGGAGGGAGGGGAGGAGGAGAGGATGAGGAGCTTCTGGGAGGAGGAGGAGGAGGAGGAGGAGGACGAGGAGGGAGGAGGACTCCTGGGAAGGGCCCCTGGCAGGCCGAGACCCATGTGAGACAGCCGCCGTCTCGGCTGCGCGACGCCCGCTGGCCTGGGTCTGGCCCGCCGGCCGACACGGTCCCCGAGGTCCCGCCCCCTCCCTCGGCGGCGAGCCAGCCCTCCTCCTCCTCCTCCTCCTCCTCCTCCTCCTCCTCCTCCCTCCTCCTCCTCCTCCTCACTCCCTCCTCCTCCCCCTCCTCCTCCTCCCCCCTCCTCCTCTTCCTCCTTCTCCTCCTCCTCCTCCTCATCCTCCTCCTCCTCCTCCTCCTGCTCCTCCTCCTCGGCGGCGAGCCAGGGGGGGAAAGGGGGAGGAGAGGGCCCCCTCAGAAGGCGGCGGGACTTCTCAGGAGCCCTCGGGCCTTCTGAGAGGTCTTCGGTGTCTTCGGGGAAGGCTCAGCACACTTCTCAGAGGGCCGGGGGACGTCCGAGCCTTCTGAGAAGGCCCGCCCCTTCTCACTTCCCCGCCTCGCTCGCGGCTGATTCCGCCCGAGTGGAATGGGAATGAAAATCGATCGTTACTTCACAGTCCTGGAGCCCGGCGATGGCCCCTGGAGGCCGCAGGCAGCGGAGGCCTCCGTCTCGCTTGTTTCGAGCTGGACGTCTGGGTCCTGACCGACGTCTTAACAGCGACGCCGCAGGCGACGACGACGACGACGACGACGATTTCGACGACGTCGACGCCCAGGCGGCGACGACGCCCAGGCGGCGACGAGGACGGCGATTTCGACGGCGACGGTAGCATCATAATTTCCTGGTCCTCGTCGTCGCAGCCTGGGGGAGCCCCGCCCAAGATCTCCCTTTGCTCAATCCTTCGAAGAAAGTGCCTCCTCTAGGTGGTGGCACCCGAAGACTACCCGCGCAAACCATCGATTCTTCTGAATTAGTGGGAGCCGGGGGTAAGGTTCGGATCTCGCCACGTGCTCGACGACGACGACGACTTCGGCGACGACGACGACCTCGACGACGTCGACGCCCAGGCGACGACGACGCCAAGGCGGCGACGACGGCGACTGCGAGGGCGACGGCGGCGACAACGACGAATTCGAGGGCGTGCCAGTGCTCGGACGTCCACTCCCCGTGCGCTTCCAGGCTTCGTGCGCTGCTTCCTCCGCCAGCCGAGGGAGGCCCCCTGCCCCTGGATGCTCCCCGCCGAGAGAACGACGACGACGACGACGACGACGACGACGACGACGACGACGACGACGACGACGACGACGACGACGACCGAGCGATGCCGAGACGACGACGACGCCGCCGCCCGGCGGCGGCCGCCGCCTGCCGCAGCATGCCGCCGCGGGCGCCCGCGGCCGCCGCCGCCCTCCCCGGCGGCGGGCCCGGCGACGCGCAGCCCGAGCCCGCCGAGAGCCTCCGCGCCTGGCCCACCGCGGGGGCGCCGCCGCCGCCGCACGACGACGACGACGCCGCCGCCGCCGCACGACGGAGACGACGACGACGCCGACGCCGCCGCCGCCGCCGCCGACGACGACGACGACGCCGCCGCCGCCGCACGACGGAGACGACGACGACGCCGACGAAGCCGCCGCCGCCGCCGCACGAGGCCGACAACGATGCCGACGCCGAGGCCGAGACCGACGCCGCGCGCCTGGCCGCGCGGAGCGGTGCGGGCGGACCTAGGGCAGACCTCCGCTAGCCCAAACTGACCAACACTCGACAGACCGCCGCCGGCCCAAACACCCTTCAAGAGCATGACACCCTCCGACGGCCCCAGTTGACGAACATTCGAGAGTACCCTCCCCAAGGATGCCAAAGAGCACATAACTAGCACGAAGAACACGATGGCACCCTTTTTAACTGTTCTCGTTTTGCTCTAGCTGTTTTCCCGTACCTCCCTGCCAACACGAAAAGCAACACACAGCCGAGGTCAAGCAAAACAGCGTCAGGCCCAGCCCCGGAATACGGAACGAGGAGGCTTCTCGGATCACGGCGAGCCTCGGCCACGAATGCAGGTGCCCTGGCCTGGATCCGCCGCGGGGCATGCGCGATCCATTCCATTGAGGAAGACATGTTTGCTGTGAGTCGCCTGCGAGCGCGTAGGCACTTTGCAAGGCTATCGGAACGCGCTCGGTGAAAAGCAAGCCCCAGCTCGGGGAGGCATCGTCGTGGGCCTCTTTGCCGGAGGTTCCACCCATCTCGCATACTTCGATTCGGTCGGGCCTGTCCTCCTACAGGCAAGGCGGATCAGGGAAGAAACCTTAAAACATGGGCAAACCACAGAAGTATCCAAACATGGTCAGAAACAGTCGAAGCCTCGTCCCCAGGCTACTTGCTCCTTCTGTTCTTGAGCCTTCCTCCTGTGGAGGCACACGCCCGACGTCATGCTTCGAGGCTCCGGCTTTCCGGCGCTGCCTCCGCGAGAGCTCCGCGCTGCAGGCCCCCTCTGGTGCCCGGGCGCCCCCCCCCCCCGAGGGCTTGCGGTGGCCCTCGGGGAGGAGGAGGAGGAGGAGGAGGAGAGGGGTCAGATGAGAAAGAGGAGGAGAGGAGGAGGTAGGAGGAGGATGAGGGAGAGTGGAGGAGGAGAGAAGGAGGGTGGATGAGGCGAGGAGGAAGGGGAAATAAGGATGAGGATGAGGAGGAGGAGGAAAGATGAGGAGAGGTAGGAGGAGGAGTAGGAGGAAGTAGGAGTAAAGGACGATGCGTCCGAGGAGGTAGTATGAGTGTAGGAGGAGGAGTAGGCAGGAGGAGGAGTAGAATAAAGAAGAAATAGAGAGAAGAAGAAAAGGCGGAGTAAGACGTGATGATGGGGGATGCTGAGGGAAGCAACAGGAGACCGTGTGAGGGAGCAGTGGCAGAGGAGTGCGGAGAGTGAGGAGGAGGGGGAGGAGGAGGAAGATGATGATGATGATTATGATGATGAGGAGGAGGAGGAGGAGGAGGGGGAGAGAGAAGAAGGCGAAAGAGAATAATAAGAAGAAGAAGGAGGACAACTTCGAGTATCCGGCGGCCGTTGTTCGATCCTGGAACGCTCTCGGCGAGGCGCAGCCGCTGGAACGCATCCCGAGAGCAGATAATAGCCAAGAAACTACAGTGGAGGCCAGCCCACAAGAAACCCAACCCTGAGACCCCAGGACGACGCAAAACCGTCGAAATCCAAGAAACCCAAGGCACCCTGGAAGCAGGCAGGGCGTCTCTTTGGTACGGGTCTCCACTGCACGAAAACGCCAGAACCCAGAACCTCGAGGTTCGAACCTCGAAAAGCCCCCGCCCTCGCTCGCCGCCGAAAATTAAGTCGGGCATGTCCTCCTACAGGAGGATTTGTGGACGAACCATAACACGAATCAAACAAATATACACCAAAATGGTAGAGTAATCATTTTCTAAAACAATCGTTCCCAGACTTTTTTTTTTTTTTTCTGTTTGACCATTCCCCCTGTAAAAGGACAGGCCCGACTTCAGCCGAGAGGGGGTCTGGGCCCCGCGCTGGCCTGTCTCTGCGGGGTGCCCTGCAGCGGCTCCCGCTGCGGGCGCTCCCTGCGCGGCGTGGAGGGCCGCGCTGGGCCCGGGC